CATCATCCAGGTGGGGACTACACATTGGTGGTGACTGTCATTACCTGTAAAGTGCTTTGAGTGGAGTGTCCACAAAAGCGCTATATAAGTGTAAGCAATTATTATTATTATCTCAGAATATTCTCAGAATATGAACAGATCAGGAAATACAGTGTTTTCTCTGGAGGACACTGGGCATGAAAAGTGCTGCCGTCTGCTGCATGTCAGTCTGTAGAACAGCGAAGGTAGAGGGAACCAGAGAGTTGTGGGTTATTACCTGTGGACAAGAATGTGTCTTCAAACTCCTCCGAGTCGTGGCTGGAAGGTCTGCGGCCCAGCCCCATAGAGTATGTCCTCTGCCGCCGACTGCTTGAGTGGGAGCTCCTGTGAGTCCCAAAACGCACCCCTGTCAATCACAGCACTCAAGATTAATCCAATATGTCGGAAGACGTAAACTTTTTAACAATGTCATTCCTTCAATTCTAATGCAGCACACTAAGAAACAGCTTGGAATGGGCATGCCTTTCTTCCCTGTATTACACTGTACACATGCAGTATACAGAATTGATCTTTCTTTTGTGATTTTGACAAAGGTACAGTACAAGAAATTACGAAGGTAAAACCTTTACTGTATTTTGACTTGGGCATTGTAGTTTTACATTTTTGTGATGAAGACATTGAAATTTTAGACGACTCATTACTATCCATTTTTTAACCATTTCATCCAATTCAGGCTCAGGGGGGAGCCTATTCCAGAAAGCAGTGGGTGCGAGGTGTGACACACCGTGGACGGGACGCCAGTCCAATGCTGGGCACACACACAGGCATTCACACTTAAAAGATGCTCAGAAAAAAAAAACATCTCAAAGGGAAGGCAGTCCATTTTTCCCTTCACACACCAAAATAGAGCACAATCTCATCTTCATTTCTAAGTGCACTTAGGTTATAATGTTCTGTTGACCATGTCAAAGCATTAGTGAAGTATTGTACCTGCATTTCGCACTTCCAAAGAGCCTACCAAGCCCTCGTTAGTGCTGGCGTCAACAACTGTGAAGGCTGTGTACATGCTGATGGTGTTACAGCCCTTGCTTGTTTGAATGGCTTTCGTACGATATCTCTTAGCTGGCCCTGTTCACAAAAAACAAGACATTTAGGATACAAAAACCTATGGTGACCGAACTTAGAGTAACAATATTCAGTTTGCCAACAGTTAAGCCACATTTCATCTGATAACCACAAAGAAAGATTGTCCAGCAACACCCAATGAGTGGGTTCCTAGAAGGAAAAGATCTGAATTCAGGAAAGAGGTTTGTGGGGAAACAAATGGAAAACATTTGCCTGCAATCAACTGGATCACAGCGTGCTGAGCTGATGAATGACCAAGCTTGTAATAATTTATAGGCACCCACAAGGATATAACTTCAGTGATAAGGAAAAAAATCCCAAAGTATTGGAATTCATTGATGAAATGCTGTTTCACAATATCTGTATGATATCACAAGCTAATTCGCATTTCAAAATGAATTTGCTGTTGAGTTTGCTGTTTGCTGTTGCTCAAACAGTAAAGGTGTTTGCTTTAGTGTAGAAGAAATCTACACTCAATATGTCTTGGGTTCAATTGTGGGTCATGTCACAAGTCAGCTGTAACTTGGATTCCCCAGATGGTGGTGCAGCAGATTGTTGTTGTCTCTGAGGCTGGTCCACCAGAACTCTTTTGGTTGTACAGAAAACAGCATCACATGCAACTTCTCAGATGCCTGCTGTGACATCAGTGAGAGATAACACTGCTTCCTTCTTCCACACTAATTTTCTTGCCGGGTATTGGAGCGAAGGGGTTACACAGAGTCAAAGGATGAATGGTTCACTTGGGTGGAGAGGTCAGAGGTCAGAGGTCAGAGGAGCATGGCTGCCTTTCCTCAATCCTCTCTGCTTATTTCACGAATCTCTGTGATTTTGGATTGAACGAAATAGCTGACATTTCCAAATTGGTTGGGTATCAAAAATTGTTAACATTTTGTAAACTAATCTGAAATAGTCAGAATTTTGCTTTCAATGGCACTCATAGCTCAATGAGTATCCTACTCAAGGACCAGTAAATTGCTTTATTACACCTGGTGCACGTCTAACATGAAGACTGACATACAGTATCCACCCTGTAGGGTGCTTCTTTCTCACCGTGCTCAATGTCTGACTCCCTCTCAGCCATGTTCTCAAAGTCCCGGATGACAGAACGAGCAGTCAGCTGATGCATCATCTCCTCCCAGCCATCCGTTCTGCTGCCAGGCCCCTGTGGAACCAGCAACAGCTCCAGGTTGACCTTCACTTCCCAGGACACTGGCTTGCCAGCCAAAAGGCCTTGAATGATGGAACGGCACTGGGTCAGAGGAGGAGGGGTTTCCTCAGCAGGAGCCGCAGTGAAGAGATACTCAGGATCTGTAAAGGAGTCCCAGTCCAGCGGGGAGGCAGGGAACAGGAGGCTGTCTGAAGCCAGGGGAAGAGAAGAAAGATCATTCATAGTCTCACATTCAGGATCACTGTTAGAAGTAATTAGCAGTTCAGACAATCTTTACAGAGCCTGCTCCTCTACAAACCACCCTTTATCGTGTTCCTCAGGCATCCTACAATACTATTCACATGGTCTTTGCTCACTGTTCTACAGCCCTGTTGCTGTGTGGATGTGTTGTTAAATGAACTCTGACACTGTTACTAAGTGTTGCTTTATAATTTATTAATTTCGTTTACCAGGAAACAGTTCTAGCATGAACTGCTATCACATTGCCCACACAATGGCAGCTCTACAGGTCTACGGGGGGCTGCACCATGCTCACTGGAGTCGGTGAGACTCCTGCGGGAGAGAGCTCCCCGGGGCGTAGGCTGCGTCTCCCCGTCGCTCTCCTCCAGCCTCCCGCCAAGTGTCTGGTCGAATGACACCTTCTCCAGCGCCCGCCGCAGCCGGTGCATGTCCAGCTCGCCCTGTGGAGAGGAGAAGCTGCGGCCCGACATGGCCGAGCGTGCCAGCGTCCTCTGCCTCCAGCGAGACTCCTCCGAGTTGGGCACTGCCCCCGCCTGCAACGCAGGGTGGGCCAGGGGTTAACACTGAAGACGTGGCGCTCAGTAAAAATGCCACGGACCCACAAGGCTTTTCTCACCTTTCCATTCGAGGATTCATTGCGTGGTGGTGCGGGGGCCTGTTTCCAAGGGGACTCCCACCGTGACAGGCTCTTCCGCTCTGGCTGTGACACCTTTTCCAGACCTTGGGGCAGAGAGCCTGTTTCCAAGACGAGGTCACGGGCACCTGGAGATTCACTGCTCGAGGAGCCATGAGGCAGGCCTCTCTCACTGCTGACGGAGCATCGCGTTAGTACATACTGTTCCTGAATGTATGAGGCCTGCAGGATCCTCTTCCGGACATCGCTCGATGACTCCATCTCCCCTCCTGCAGTACACAACCTTGTGTCAAGTTTTCAGTTTCGAGTGTCAGTAAGTATGAGCTTTCGATACGGGACTTATGCTTTACACTGTAACTTAACTGTTGCTCTTTTAAATATAAGGTTTATAATAAACCCTAAACAGGTTAATGAATAAAAAGTGTGAAACAAGTGCCCTGAGAGCAAGAGAAAATATGTATACAAAAAAATCAACATAACTATTGACCTGTGCCTGTGTCCGTAGGCCTGGCACAGGAAAATTCAGAAGAAATCTCTCGAGAGATCTCTCTGAGGGCCTCCTCAATGTCACAACGTTCGGAGGGCCCCGGAGAGGGGCGCCGGATATCTGCAGTGGAGGGAGTGGAGAGCTCATCCTGAGACTGAGCAAATACAGAACTGACCGACCCCCGAGATAGCCCCTTGGCTCCATGACCCTTCAACTGGGACAAAGAACAGAGATCCATTCAATTATGGAACAGGAAGATTGTCTTGGGTAAGTGCTAATATCTAATTCACAACAGGTTGTGTAACTGTGCTTTAGGATGGAAAGTCCCTCTAAACTTACCCCAGCCTTCCTGCTTCGAAAGGAAGATACGTCATACAGAGTGCAGTAGCCAATCAAGCAGTCACCAGGATAGAGCGGGGCAATTTCATTGGGCGAGAGAAGTGCCTCCATGTTATCTGGCACATACCAGTCAATTCGAATGTCGGTAATTGCAGGTTCAAAGGCCTTCTTCAGGGACTTCATCAGCTGAGATGAAGCAAAGGAAGGAAATCATGAGAGGTGTTTTTGTACTAGAAATGGTTTGGCAATTCTACAGGGATCTGTTCTCCTAGACTCAATGGAAGCTAAAAATCCTGAAATTAAAATCAAAAGGAATGATTTTAGAATGAGAAAGAAAAATAACCATTACAATAACAAATGTAGAACTATTATCTATGGAATTTCAGAGAAAATTCAGACTCTTCAGTCATGTATTTGGCCTATTTGCTGAACTAACTACAGTAGAAAAACTGAAGTGAAAAATCACCAAGAAACGGCAAACTTGTGCATTACTTTCTGTTAGAACTATGGAAAATACAGTAAGTATCTGCTATTTATATACAGAATATATATATATACTCAAGCATGAAATGAAACATCAGTTGCACAAAAAAATGAACAAAGCTATAATCAATGACAAAAATTGTAGCAGGTATGCTACATTTCATAATTCTGTGAAAATACATTCTGTAAAAAACAGACATGGTTGGTAAATTACTAAATTAGTTACGCTGATTAGCATTTGTATTAACTATCAAGGGCTCTACTGTGAAAGTCACAGCTTGAGAGTTCATTTGTTCATCCTTAAAATAATCAATGGGGTTTACATCTGATAAGCAGAACAGCAGAGTTATAGTTTCATGTCACAAGAAACCTCTAGTTACAGGAGCAGCATGAGGAGGTACTGTATGTTGTCCTGCTGGAATTATATCATCTCAGGATGTAGGGCAGTTAGTGTAAGTGGGTCTCAGGACTTGATCAATGTAGCACTGAACAGTCAGGTTGCCATCAATCACTACCAGAGGAGTTCTTTACCAGCTAGCAACACGGGAGGTAACATATTGGGTTCTTTTCTGCTTCTCTCATTTTTGCTTTTTACCTAATTTTACATTTTGAGGCTAAAGCAACTTATTACCTTTGCTCCAGCCACCCTCTCGAAAGTTGGCAAAACTACCAAAATGACACTAAGAACATTTAATTAAAATCCAAAATTAATTTACAGCTGGGTCTCCACACTTGCAAGGCTGCGGTGCAGTGAATCAAATACTGTAGTAAAGCCAAGTCTACCCCTATACCATTGCATAATACGCTACAATATTGTACGTAGTACGTATAGTTAAACGACATAAGTAACCCTCCCTTATATGATAATTAAAGTACTAATGCATTGGCTTTAAATCAATTTGAATAAAATTGCTCAACTACAGTAAAAGAAACAACAGTAATCACAAACCTATAGTTATCCATTAAAATCACATGAATCCTCTTCTACATCAGGCTCGCACTTTCTCTCTCTGCCTCTATGACTATCACCCCACTCCGCAGTGATGCAATAGAACCGTCAAGTTGTCTTCAGCCTGCCATTCCCCAAGCAACAGACACAGAACCAGAGTCTTTGTTACAGTATAAAAACAAGACCACCTTAAGATGCAGGTGCTGGGCTAGGAGCAGGGGGCAGGGAGTAGCTCACTTCCTAGCTACTGTAGATTAATCTCTCAATCCTAGTCTGTTGCGCTTCTAATTTGAAAGCTGTGGTTAACAGCCTTAGAATCGGTTTCATCCTGCACCGCTCTTTTTTCATCCAAGACCCCATCAGCCAGACCGAATCGCAAGTATGGAAATGAGCAGACAACGAGACCCCACTGTACCCCAATCGAGACCCCAATATCCTGGAAGCATAATACATTGAGTGATAACTTTCCCTCGCTGCTCTGCACATGGATTCTTCCCAGTCCACTTCAGGTGCCGGCCATCCTATTGCTTGCTCTAGGGCTCACCTTGGGCTGCAGCCTCTCCTCTTCACTCAAGAACTCTGTACTGCCGCCTGTCGCCTTGGCGATCCCATGGAGGAGTCGTCTACATGCTAGAGGGCCCAACCCCATACCAAAGCACCTGTAACCAGTAAAGTGAATTGGTTGTAAAAAACGTTTTAAGTCATAAAACTGTACCATTATTTTTAAACCACCTGAACATACAATAGTACAAGTAGAGTTAAGTTTAGCAGGAATGGAAGTTGATCTGAACTGTGACTTTATGCCCATTGGTGACACAGAACTACTGCCTCATAGCTCCTGGTACCGATTCCATCTTAGTGCAGCTACATATTCCCAACCCTGGTCCTGGAGAAACACTGTGTCTGTGCTTGCCTGTTTAGACATAAACATATTTCTTTATTTATTCTAGTTCTGCGTGTCAAAATACCCTTCTTCTAGGGTAGTTTTCTTTCATTACTTCAGCATGCAGACCTTCACACAGCCTCTCCTCCTGCTGTTACTGCTGACGAAAGAGCTCTTACTGGTTAATCAATGGATGAGGAACAGACACAGGTGAGAATGACAGTATTTGACACTTCCACAATTTGTGTTCTCCTTCTGCAACACACCTGAATGAGGGCAGGAGGAAAATTGCTACAGGGTTGATACCAATCGCATATCCCATTTGACCTCTTAAGAGCTGAAAGAAAATTTACAAACATGCTTCAGATAGAAAGCCAAAATCAATTATCTTGTGATGAAGAACTCAGCTGGGCCAAAAATCAGAAGAAACAGTGTTCTTCCAGGACCAGAGTTGGGAACCGCTGGTGTGGGCTCTCCATGTTCTTCACATGTTTATCTGGGTTTTTAGTGGGTGCTCCACTTTCTTCCCACTACCCAACATACAAGTGAGGTGTGACTGGCAGCTCTGAACTGTCTCATTTGATGGTGGTGGTGTTTGAGAGAATTCATAGTTGGAGGCATCTGCTCCCAGTATAACCAGCCTCGATATGACACTACAAACAAAGAGGACCAAATGAGCTTGATTGGCAGAATGGGCTATTCTCATCCGTGGCATTTCTGACATTCTGTTTCTTTGGGAAACATCTTTAAAACATCTTTTAAACATCTTTAAAATGTGACTAGGGGTAACTACCATAAGACTGTACCATAAGAAAGATTAAGATTCATTATCTGCTCCCTGTAGAATTAAAAATTCCATTATATGAAACACATTTCAGGCAAATTACATCAAAAATAAAGGTACAATAATATCACAAGAAATCACTCAAAATAATTGGACAAAAATCCCGTAGAAATTTGATTGGGACTGGCAATCGAATGGTTAAGGTACAGTACCTGTCTGCACTGTTGAATACAGATGTAGGACAAATGAAATTAGTCTGATCAGTTTGCTGTTCTGCCCTGGGGAGCAGTAGAGTGGAGAGAGGTTTAGAGTTGGCTTTGGCATGGAGCACTTAGCGTGATTGCAATATATGACCTGCAGTTATGGTGTCGCCAGTCCCCTCCCTCTCTCTCTCTCTCTCCTTCCTTGCCTGCATATTTCAAACACATACTAATTACTGTCCCAGTCTGGCTACAGGCTAGATTGAGGACTGGGGAAAGCTACGAGTTTGGGTGCGTCAGACCACCTTTTTGTGCTACATTTCATTTTAAGTGAGCTCTATCAGGGTGCATTGTTAATGCAGTTTAAAACCAAACAGGATTTACAGTAGGAGACACCTTGCATCCAAATGTGACTAATCTCACCTTACCTTATGAAGTACATTTTCCGGGGACACAGGGAAGACCTTCATACAGTATGTGACTTGCCTGTCAATGCAGATTGCACATTACACATACACACTGTGCAGCAGAGGCACAGAAAACAGGAGTGTTTACCTGGCAGTGCTGGCGTGCCTCCTCACCAGCTCAATGACTTTGCCCACGCTGCTGACCGAGCCATCAGTGAGGATGAAGAGCTGGCGAGGGTAGCCCTTGTGGACTGGCTGCCGGAAAACCCAGGACAGGGCCCCGAAAATATTGGTCCCCCCCATGCTGGCTCTCATCTTCTGTACATACTCACATGCCTGGGAGAGAGTGTCCTGTGAAGTGTGCAGCACATGTCAATAGTGGTCAGGCACATGGAAAACCCTATGTGGATCACACATACTGTATCATTCTATGAAATGTAAAAATATTCAGAATTGTACAAATTCTATTCAGTAAATCGTCCCATTACATATCTACACAAAAGCTCCAGCAGGTATTTTACACTAGGTGTGTTCATATTTATTGGAGAAATGTAACTCCAGTTGATGCATAATTAAATATCCTGGGCATATGGAAGTTAATTTGTGTTTAGCTCCATTGAGTAATTGTACACCTGCTTTAAAAAAACAATGGATTGGAAAACTTTAATGGATCTAGCAGACAATACGCAAAAAACACAATTAGTTTACCTCACCTTCACAGGGCTGTTAAAGATGTAATAGATAAACTAAACTATTCAGCTTTGAAAACAACAATAATAACTTGGGTGGTGTAAGCACCCTTGGGTGGGATGTCCATCAGAGGCACAATTTAGACATGCCAATTAACCCAGTCAGCATGTCTTTGGGAGGTGTGAGGACATCAGAGCTCAGAGGACAGTCCCACAGACACAGGGAATGATGTCACCCAGAAGGCACATCACAGGATCAAACCCAGGGCCTGTGAGCAGTGCTGTCCAACATGCCACTGTGCTGCATGATAAGTAACACATGCAGCAGAGTAAACTAAAAACCTCAATACATCTTTGTTGCATACAGTAATTTAATTCCACCCAGCTGTGTAGACAATCGATTTAATTAAGCTGTAGTCATGAAACTCAAAGCTCATACATACAGCTGGTTGTAAATGCAGGTTGGGTCACCATATGCTCTGATATTTTTGAAACGGGTACTGTGCTTCTGTAATGTTCTAAGTAAACCTGATACTTTGCAGTCAAGGCAACCCACTATTGTGACCCGGACATTAAAAGAGATAACATTGATCCTTATCGACAGTAAAGCACACAAGGAAATTTTCTCAGAAATAACAGCTACTGTTTTAATCAGGAACAATCATGAAAGAATCCTGTGTCCACGCCACTTATTCCTTAGTGGCCTTAAATTTCTCGTCTGTCCAATTTTATTATTCACCTAATTGATTTATTTTCAGATCCAAAAGAGATTGCACTCGAGGGGCACTAAGGCCACTGCAGCTTTCTTCTCCTTGAGATAGTGGAGACAAGCTAAACTCTGTTGCACAGTGCTGAAGAGATTTAAGATTTAATTTTACAACATATGGAAGACACCAGGACAAAGGACAGTTAGTTTCATGAACTATCAGCTACAGTATTGCACTGGTCCTACTATTACATACCTTTGAGAAAAAAAAAAGAATCTATTTTCCATGAGATATTTTAACTAGCCAGTGCTCACAAAGTTATAAAAGACCATTTTTAAATCTTCTTTATGAAACTGCATATGCAAACCTGACCCAGAGGTACTCACATCATTGCAGATCTTGCTGGTAGAGAAAAGAGTTTGGATGGTGGAACCAAAGCCCACAATATTCAACAGGGTCCCTGGAGGAAGACTCTTAATAGCCACTATCATAGCTTCCTGCAGGGAAGTGGACATAGTATTTAAGAACCTTAACAAGAAGACTGGTCATTTTAATACAGCTTCTAATAAATCCAGAACCTCATGAATCACTTCATAAGATTAATAAATGCTGGCATTAATTTTTTACTGATTTCTTCTAAAGAAGATCCATACTGCTAAAACAAAGCTGTATATTGTAAGTGCTTGAGTGTCTTTGGATTCTGAGCAGGCACCTTGATTCTGTCGATGTTGGCCCCACTCATACTGCCGCTACGGTCGATGATGAACAGCACCTCCCGTGTAGCCCGGTGGAGATCATATGGGACACTCAGGAGATCTGGGCAGAAGTTGAGCATCAGGACGGGGTTGGAGAGGATGTCTTTGTGGAAACGTTTTCTCACGAATTCCAGCTACAACAAAGTACAAGAGCTCTGTCAAAAAAAAAAGCTTCCGAATTCTGAATTGTGTCACCAATGGGAAAAGTTTTATTTTGTCTCTTTTTGCTAAGGGTACCATCTTTTATAACTTTTAAGAGGTAAAGTCTTGTAACACGAAATGGGCTGCACATACTGGGTGTATATGCTGCTTTACTTTATCGGATATCCTAAAACACAGTAATTCTAAGAGCTTTTGACTCAAGGTGCTGTACAGTAGCACACATACTGTATAACACAAAACACAAACCACAAAGCCTTTGTATAAAAACAGACCATTAAACAAGTTTTAAAAATGCAGACATTTACAAAGTCTCTAAAGGATTTGGCTAATGAGTTCCAAAGTCATGGTGTTGCACACAGTAAGTTTCTCATTCATTGTGTGGGGTCTGGTCTTCACCTGAGTGACAATATCTGAAACAGCAGATCTCAAACTAACAGACTATATTCATGCAAGAATTCTTGAAGATAATCTGGAGTTGTACCATACAGTACATCAATAATGTTACAGTGTGTACTGTACAGTGGTAAGTCATGTACTGTATGTGAAATAGGGCTATCTCACCTTCTTCTCCGGATCTGCCTCTTTCCTGGCACAGCGAACGAAATCGCGGCGGGAGCAGATTTGGTGCTCGTACTCCTCAAAGGTCAGTCGCCCCTTCTCCAGGAGAACGTGGGGGGTGTGGGGCTCTGAGAGGCAACACCAAGCCATGAGAGACAACACTTCCACTGTGTGGAGGTTATGAGGAAAGAGCCATTGTTCATAAGCCCCTTTTATCACCAGCAGAACACTGGTGTTCTCTTATGGTTGGGAACTCAAATGCAACTATTACAATTTCTTGAATATTATAATTGTACAAATGAATATACAGTGTTCAAATGCTGAACTTTTTAAACAGTTTCAACAGAAGTTTTAAAATGAAATTGATTTGCCTATCAGGGTGAAGATTTCAATACCCTTATGTCCAAGAGATGTCTGTGGAACCTAATATTACAAACATTATCACAGAGATGTCTTATGTGTTTGATGCATTAAAATCTACTGTATTTTTCAAGCTATCAAACTATCAAGCTCTCAGACAATTAATAGTTTTAAAAGTACCAGCATACACAAATATTTAACAACCTATGCCAATATACCAATTCAAAACTGCACTGATCTCAACTATCACTGCCAATGCTGAGTAAAAACACATACTTTTGCTGCCTGGTTGCACTGTAAGAAGACAAATTTGCACAGAATTACACAGTAACGATAATCTAATAAATAGTTTTTAGATTCAACCATAAACCACTCCCAGCACATCAAAGTGCACTGTACTGTATATGCTATACAAACTGAACACAGTACACCTCTTACTGCTGACTTGCTTTTGCCTCCCTCTAACCCCACTCTGGTGCCTCAGTGTTAGTGTCCCCCAGTGGTCTCACCACTCAGGTGAAGGATAATCTCCAGGTGGCGGTCATATGGGTGTTTCTCAGCAAGGGTGATGTATGTAGCTGAGGCTGACTGGGCGCTAGGGTCTGCATCAGCTCTCAGAGCATGAGTGGGGCTCTCCAGACCTCCAAAGGCAAGGACCGATAGGGACAGTAAACAAAACACAAAACAATCCCAGATTTAAATTAAATCGTCAATATACTGCACTAACAATATATTAACAAATTAAGGAAGCTCCCATGAAATGCATGCTTTGTTTCATACAGGTTCAAAATATATGCTGCACACCTTAAGAATGTGATCTCTCATCTTTTTCACAACATGCTTTTCTGTACTGGAACCAATTGGCTAGGCTACAGGCTTTACTAATCTCCTACCACTTATCTATTCCCACATATTCCCATTATATTTTCTCTCACACAATGCAATCTGAACTCATGAGAAAAAAAGAAAAAAACACTCGTAACCTTAACCACCACCCTGAACAGCAGGCACTCCTGGAATATCTGACTTAGCATTTTCTCAGTTGTTATTGTTTTTGTCTTTTGTTGACTTAGAAAAACACTACTACTACTACAGAGATAAAATATAGAGTGCTGCCAAGACATAAAACCAGTGCCCTGTAAGTCAGGTAGTATTTTCTGAAGGCTGGATATAGGATAGTTTCAGCACATACAAGGTAAACATAGGGTATTTTGAGTATGCAGTGGGTTGTGCTTAAGATAGCACACCATTTCAAATTAGAGCCACATGTATTTACACTGCTGACAAAAGGATTTTCTAACACTTCTATTCTACTATATTTTTGTGAGTTGCTATACCTCCCACACCGTAAGGGCCACAAATACGTCATTCTTATAGATTTAGCTAATCCATGAACTCTTCAGGACCCTAATAAATCATAAAACATTATTTTTAAAAACTAGATTAGCCTTTGTAAGTAATTGATGGCCAAGACTTAATTCAAACTGGCAGGTCCTCCAGCTCCAGAGAACAGTATTTTTACCATCCGTTCACATTCTAGAAAAAGTGGCATAAAGACCTCTTTTTTTTTTCTTTAGAGCGACATAAGAGGAACGTGACTGATTAAAATAAGTGAATGCAAATGTTCTGCCTCCTCTCCCATGGGAAACCATTGATTGTGGACTGATTAAATATTCTAATTGACCACCTCTTTACTCCTGGCTAACACAATTTGGAAAAACTCCATATTGGTCTCCCCTCTCTCTCTCTGTTTGAATTTGAAACAATCCAGCACACTGACATATTGCATAAAAACCAGTCAGACCCAACTGTATCCTGCAGTAAATCAGTTTATTAGACTGACTCAAACTATTGATTTTTTTCCTTCCCCTCGCCACACACATACACACATACATGTTTCAGAATCCGAAATATGCTGTTGGGAAAAATTGTGAATAACAACCTAGGGAGATGAGGGGTTCTCTTGCCAACTTTTAATAGGTTTAATTTTTGTTTTGTTCTTTTTGGCTTTGATTACTGATTCAGGAATGGTGTCAATATGTCTGCCATGTGGCAGAAACTATTGTACTAGAGCTGTAAAGCTTTTTGTTATTCTATAGAAAGTCACATTTTTATGAAATTTTGTAAGACTATATAATGAACATGGTACCCCGTGGGTTAGAGCAACACATACTACATTGCCATTGTATTTGGTAGTGTCTTATACTTTTTAACAGCTAGTTTTGTGTTTAATTGCATGTGTAAAGACAGTTATAGTTATGCAACATAAAAAGTGTTACAAAATTATCTGTACTAAATACAGGAAAACTGATGATAGCACAGACTGTACACTACTAGCAACAACATACATTTAACATTAAAATGATATATTAAAGTGTCTTTCAGTTTACAGCTACTTATTATTAAGTTATTAGGCTATTTTTGCATAAATATAACATTTTCAGAATGTTTATTTTCTTGACTGGTGTGAGACTGTCACAGAAGCAGGACGTTTCTTAGGTCCTTCATCTAATAGGATACATATTGCACAGCTGGGGCGGGGGATGGAGGGAGGTTATCTGCTGGTCATTTATGTCTATGCATAAGAAATATGGGAAGAACTGTAATTTGTATATTAATAGGACTCTAGAATGTCATGACTTCAAAATGGAGATAAATTGTGCATTTTAGAATATGTGCACAGACCAATTGAAAATAATAAATGGAACTTTACAGAAAAAAATAAGTTAAATAATGTACAGTAGGCACACAAATGGTGCCACAACATTTTAATTAATGCATTTCATTAATGACATGCAAATTGCTACCAGAAAACTCAAGTGTACTGAAATACTGTATGTTGTATTATGTTTCACTAATGAGGAATGCAAGTTCACTGGTTGTCTGTACAAATGAACAGAAGAATCTATCAGCAGAACCATTTATTATGTACAGTAGATGTCTATTCAGCTGTGATTGGTATGTTGTGTATCGTTTTCACCGAGATCTGATGATCAGTGTCAGTGTCTCACCTGCTAGCAGACAAGCTCCCCTCACCAGCAATTCGAAGTTCAGCTCATAGGGCAGTGTAGTCGAGGCCTGACAGGTGAAAATGGCATGGATGCACTGCGGGTCAGAGTCTGGAGTCTTTTCCTGCTTCCCAGATGTAGCACCAAAGCAGGTGGTAGGACTGAAAGAGCACAGGGTTACCTGGTAAACTGAGGATGCCAGCAGACTCCATATACAGTACTGTACTGTACCTAGTCTTACGGGCAATTATCCAAACACACATGTAGACTAACACATTTCCTCCAGAAATGTGCAGACCTAAAAGAATTTCAGTCAAAGGAAATTGTTAATTTTTTCATTATCGTAATTATAATCATCAATAAAGAAGTAGAAATTGGAGGAACAAAATATCCAGACGTGTCCTGATGACATTTGTACTGAACATAAAAAAAGATGATCAATCTTTGATTGATGGTCGAAGTCAATGTTAAGAAATATTTTGCGATTGGATTTTGTATTCAATAAGGCTTCAGCAATTAAAATTATTTAATTTTCTAAACATTTCTGTTCTTAAACAAACACTGTAAAGCCAAGTACAGCACGTTTATTTATGATGATATAAATGTATGTGCGATAAAACAGATTACATCTGAGTGTGGTTTAATACTGTACTTTTGTAACATGTTGGATTAATGGTCCAGATCAGTCCTCCCTGTCCTCCTGTACACCCACTGAACTTTTCTGTTTTGTATATTTTTTAAGCCTGTTGTAATGAAGTTCTTGGACCTTCAGCACCAATATCAGTTGAACTTGAACTTGAACTTTATTGCCATATGTAACCGGTACTGGTACAATGGAATTCTTACTTACAGAAAGTCTCTCAATTGTAAAACAAGTGTAAAAAAAAAAAAAAAAAGTTGGTAACCATTTCCAATACTATTGCATTTAAGAAATAAACAATCACTGCAAACTATCATAAAAAACACAGAGAATACCATAAATACAACCACAACATCACTACATTGATTTCAATGCTGCCTGTGGAGATACTGGGCCACTCAAGTTCCATAGTTTCAGTAGCCTAAAATGAGTTTCCATCACCGACCACTGCCACGCAGAAAAGATTCGTAAGGTGACAGAACATGATGGTCACTGGAGCAAACAGTAGAGAGGCAGCTACACATTTCCCTTTGAAATCTCAGAGGTGTTGCACGTCACAACATTGGTAACTGCAGAAGAGGAGGCTAACATAACATTTTGCCACAGTTAAACACTGGAAATGTTAACCTTGAGGCTGTTTGAACTGACACATTAGTCATGTCTGCTGTTACCTTTCATGACACCTCTGAAGCACCTGCGCCAACAACCATGCCTCCTGTGAGGCCACTTACATCCGCTTTCTTTCCCACAATGCAGTAAACTGACGAGAGGTCCTGCTCTGCTTCTACTTTTCAGTCTTCATTTTGTGACAGCAAGTGCACTGGGCCATTCCGTGGAACAAAGTACCATTTTATACCATTCCTGAATATTTTGGTTGGGCAGAACCTTGCATAAAGAAGGTCTTCCCTTCACTCAGTAAAAATGCACATTTCCTTGTGCTGTAGTGAGTCCAAGAACGCCTTAAGTATTCTGACCTCAAATCTGACGACATATTCTGCGTAATTTATAGACAGACGTTGTGGCTTTATATAATGGATGAAAACCACAAATCTTGTTACTGTTTAATATCATCAGCACATTTAGGCACACGTTGTTAATAGTTTTGTGCTAAATCAAAGAAAGTGAATTCCAACCTACCCATTCTCATCACACCGCCCCCCAGTTTCGTTCTTGGTTTGAGCCATTCTAGTCACAATGGGAGTGAACACTGAAGGGAATACGAGATGGATTGCTCCATTGTGCAATGTTGAGAGTTCCAGGGTGGTGCTGATGATGACAGTTACTATGTTCATTGGAGCAATCACCCCCGTGCCAACAATAAAAGTGGTTCGCTCCAAGTCTTCATCCAGGACGAGGTGTCCTGTAAGCACACATTTGTAGAGCAGACAGCACTGAAACATTGTTGTTTTAAGAGAGATGCTGGTTAAGAGAATTCTTTATGGAAAATAACTGCTGTGTATTTATGTAGTTAGGTTGTACACTGCTTTTCATATTTCAGTTTCAAAATAATATGAAGTTATCAAACATATTGAATATGAAAAAGAAATGCATAACATTATATATATAATATAATATAATAATTAATATATAAAAACATATATATAATGTTCTATACAGTATATACGTTTTAAAATATATATGTCCCACTCAAAATTAATGTATCTAAAAATACATATTATACATCTTTTTGAGTGATGTGTTTTTGTCAACAACAGTACAATATTTGAAGTAAAATTAAGAGTTTTTAAGTCATTAAATAATGTATTTACATTAATAAATCATTACAATTTACATGGCACACTATTATGTCCTTTCTGAAGTCATACATCCAGAATACAGTCGTATTACAGGCATTTTAGAAGCATACAACAAAACAAGAAATGTCCTTTATCATACACATGACTCTGACTATTCAGTGCAGGAAAAAAAAACATTCTTCCATTCTTGGGCATATTAGTATAATTTTTTAAACTAATGCAATTCCAAATGGATGCTTTGAGCTTAATCCATTTGTCATTCTTTTTTGCTTAGGTCTGCAAAGACATGTTATTACGGTAAAAGAAGAATAGCGGCCTTTTAGGTGATCTATACTGAGCCTGAAACATTTCTTCTAGTGTAAAAGGGTTTGCTGTTCTCTCTACCAATCTGGTCTGAGCTAATGGAAGTGCTAAAGAGCAAAGTGGTTTTTCATTATAAAGTACTGTTTTCATCTGCTGGATCCATTAAAGGATTAAACTGACTTTGTTCAGTGATTACTTTACACAGAGCATCTACTGGAACTATGGACCCACAAAAAGCTGCCACTCATAAGTCTGGACTGACTACACTGGCAATGACTAACATCCACCATCCACTTTTAAACTGCTTTTACAAGTTAAAGAGCCTATCCTGACAAGCAACAGTGGTGAGGAAGAATACACCCTGGACGGGACACAATCATTCACACACCAGGACCAATTATCTCAGAAGCCAATTAACCTACCAATATGTCTTTGGAGTTTGGAAGGAAACTGTAGTACCTGGAGGAAGCCCATGCAAACACAAGGAGAACATATACATTTCTCAAGTCTGGAATTGAACCCAGGGCCCCAGTGCAGTAAGGTAGCAATGCAAACCACTGCGTCACCCTGCCACCTGTTATCAAATTAATTGATAAGTAATTAATTTGTTATTTTTTGTTTCCAAGCAACTGAAATCCTTGGGATCAGGAGTGGAGATTTTTGGCATTTAGCCTTGGTCACTTTGCCATGTCCATTATCCAAAGGAAATCAGTCCACCTCCTGCAAAATCTTTAAACATTGAGAAGAGATGAAAAGAATCCCAAGGCTGCATTAAAACTCAGATGGCAAAATGCCCGAGAGACATTCTCTTAGAAAATGACTTTTCTAGAGAACAGCTCAGACATCCATCATAGATCTGGGAATATTGCTGTCACCAATGACAAACTGGCATTCAACCAACTCCCTGTTTTTTTTATGCCTGCTTATTTATTGTAATGTTCTTACAGTTTGATATGGGTAACTTACGGTAATGGAATGGATTGTGTAACGTTCTCTAACAAGTGTAATGCACCCTTCAAGTCCTTTGTATTCTCGTTGCCTCTTGCTGAGACCCAGATTCTTACCATTGGTGCACTGGAAGTCCAGGCTGGAGCTGCCACAGCAGTTCCAGTCCTTACCATTAGAGCACTGTGGCTCCACAGCTGAGCTGGCGCAGCAGTCCAGGCAGCAGTCTTCAGCCTTGGCTCTGCTCTGAATCTGCACGCTCACCATCCTTCCAGCAATCACGGCCTCGAATCCCACTACCACTTCCGTTTCTTGCAGAGGGTATACAAACACGCCTAAAGCATGACGTCAGACCAAAAACAAAAACAATTGAGAGAGAGATAAACTATGAAGTCTGTGCATACACCCTTCTAAGACACAGACATGGATGCTAAAATACTGTACCTTAAATACTGGAGTGGTACTGTATATACACAAGCTGCAGCAACATCAACCTTACCTTCCACTGGTTCGGAATGTGGGTTAAGATAGGTAAGGTGGGCAGTGATGCCCAGAGAGCAGCCGTTGGCACAGGACTTGATGCATGAAGCTTTAAGCAACAGTGGAGCCCAGGTAGAACGGTTCAATAAACCTGGCATCTTCGGTTGGGTACAGGAGCTGCTGGGAAACCCAGGCAAGGGTAACAGGAAAAGGGTGCACTGGTTAACAGGACTGCAGGGAAAGAAGCGAAAGGGATTTAATTTCACCAAGAAAAGCACAATTCTTTCCTCTGCTCCAGGAAGTTATGATGTGTTTTCTCTATTGAATTGGAAAAGAAACACACATGAAGATAGAAAGAGTTCACGGTGACATCCTGGGTCAGAGAAACAGAACAATGAATCGGGTTTTACTTGCAGGTTTCAAGAGTTCTCAGAGGTGGCAGAAAATTCAGTGTATGTTTACTGGCTCATTGTAATGTCATTTTGGAAGAAACACTCTCTGTCAAAGTAAATTGCTGTTGTCTGATTAAATAAGCTTAAGAAAAGCGGGCAATATCCATGGCACTAGAACCAAGAACACAATCCAACAAGCAAGAACAGGTCAATGTCAGTTTTATAACAATATAATGAAGCAGTATTTTTAAAAAAGGTACATATTCTGATAATGCGTATTTTTTTATTTTTCGTTTGAAGGACTATGCATGCAGGGCTACGAGGAATTTCGGTAACTGGTTTCATACACTGAACAAAACCTGGGGTGCTGGTGGGCTATAGCTGTTGTTCACATTCATCCTTGAAAATGTAAGTGCTCACCTGAACAGCACTGCATAATCCCTATTCAATAAAAAAGGCACAGTCAATACAAAAGACATTAATGTATTTGCTCCAGCTGTGGTGCAATATTTACAAACGTCCCCTCTGAAAGTGTCTGAGGTTGGTTACCAGGATATTCCCCATGCTGCAGTGCACAGCAACCTTCAGGTCAGGCAGGCAGCTTTATTAATGGACAGTTCAATCATTAACAGCTCTGTCAACATTCCAGAAGGACTAGGCTGGATGCAAGATGCTGTCTAATGTAAAAGTTTAGGTTCATGTCCAGGAGGTGTTGAAGCTGACCACTCTCTTGGGTCTCTGGCTGGAGAATACAGAAGGTCACAGCGATGGGCAGTGATGACTCCTGGTCTACAGTTCATCTACTTTTATTCTGTGTTGCAGGATGGGTAAGAATGGTAGTGCCAGCTGTGCCAAGCAATAACTTGATGTTCCTTTGTTATTCACTTCCTCTGTCCAGCTTCAACCTCTCAGAGAAATTACCCCATGCCTTGTCTCTCTGTTGCTTGACTGTACTACCGGCTCAGGCTCATATTAAAGCAGCAATGTTAATGTTCAGAGTGTCAAAACCGAGAACCATGTATTCCTTTTTTTACTTTCACCCAACTAATCTTATTAATAACTTATTTATTTTGTAATGTAGTGGGAAACTTCTATTTTTCTGTCACATTCGCTGCTGTTCATCTTATTGTACAGTTTAGTGATCAGGACAAAAGCCAAAGTAAATTTTGATGGTGATAAACTCTTCAAGAACAGTCATGTATTATTGTTATTTCTGTCTTGTTGGAATCACAGTTCAGTTGCTTAACTCTCTGGATCACTGTTATTAGGATGTTAATATGTGTCCTATTACAATTAATTGCAATACGTTCTTAGGACATATATACTAGTCTTATGAAGTCAAAAGTATTCACATCCATTAACACATACAGTAATACATTCACAGAGAGTAAAGCCTTTTTAAGACAATGTTTTTCTGTGTTGCTGAGCATTAGTCACCACTTAAACCTTAATTTATCAAAAATATGAATGCAATAAACAAAACAAGGCAAGCTGTCTCAAGTCGCTTTTACTTCATTCCATAGATAAAATCTACACTGAAGTTCATATTATTTTATAGAAAGGTTTATCTTGAGATCACATAAGCATAGCCTGAAGTATTGTGTTTGACTAGTGCAGTAAAAAATTGATGCATTATTCAGAAAAAAAACTGGCAGCCACAACATTTCAGTAATAATAATTTCTTAAATTTATGTAGCACTTTCCATCTGAAAGCTTCTCAAAGCACTTCTCATAGAAGAAGAAAGCTACTACATATACCACTGTAGAAGCCAATACTATATATGCCAGCAGTGAAAAATTACTTCTCCAGTTGAATTAAGGGAAAACTTTAGGAAAACCAAACTGTAGAAGCCCAGAGTGGAATTTAGCAAGGATATCAGGATTCACATCCCCATTCTCTACAACATGTGATTTTTAATTAACAAAGTAGTCAAGGACTTTGGTTTAATGTCTCATCTTCTGCATCACAGTGTCTAGAGAAATTGTGGTTCGGGGGGAACAGTATCACTTCCTAGTTCACCAACAACACTTGCATAAGAAACCTGGTTTTCCTTAGAGGCCCATTTCCAGCACTGACCAGCTCCAGCCCTGCTTAGGTTCTGAGATCTGGCCTGACCAGGCTACAGGATGGCAATACTGTTGAACCATGATGGTATACTTCCCTACATTTATCACATAAAAAAGAACATTTAAAGTTTTTCCTGTGGTCAGCCAACATCCCTATTCTCTCACTGTATTTTAATATGAATAAAGATGTATGAATGTCAATGTGTTTAGAGATATTTTTATATGATTATATTTCATTAAATCATTTCCACATTTTTAAATGTTTACCAATGCTACACAATTTTCATGCATATACTGTAGTATACTAAGTAAATTCTGAACAGGCATTGACAAAAAGTCTCACTGTGTGCCGAAGAAATGTTATGAACAGTTAGTCAACTATTACATTTCATTTAATGAAATGCTGTATTGCTGTTTTGCCAGGAATATGTTGTGTGTATGTCCCTTAGTTAAATAAGTTGTTGCAAAATGCAGCTTTTTTGCTTCCTTTTCACAGACTTGGTTTTTACCAAGCTTGTATGCACATGCTGAGTGTTATGATTGGAATCATTCCAACACAGAACTGAGATCTGGTGCAGAAAATTACTTATTTGATAAGCTTCATCATCTTTTTCATGACTTTTGATGATAAAAAGTGATTGCACAGAAAATTGTTTTAAAAAATGTGTTCATACTTAAAGCAGAAATCGTAATTATTTGATTTTTATCTTTGTCCAACTGTATTTTGTATTGAATGCAAATATCAGCAGGATCATATCATGGCCAGCTTGTGCTTTTGATAGGTGGCAAAGTGTAATTGCTGCAAAAGTGATACCATTTCCTGTGCTCATTTACAACAATGTTTAGCAGAAAATATGCAATTTAAAACTAATTAGCAATACACCTTGCATTTGTTAAAATAAGAGGTATGATTGCTGGGTGATGCTGGTCACAGCTGAATGAGCCCCTGATTATAGCAGCAATGGTAACTGTTTGTTCTAACTCAGGTAATGGCCTTTTTAGCTCTGTTCTCAAAGTAAATCAACAAAACCCATCTGCTTATTTCACTCACTAAAAGTGCATTTGGTGAGGTCACACCTCAGTGGGTACAATGAGACACAGGAATGGCAGGTATAACGACTTGACCAAAATCATTAAAGAGGCATTTTCAAAACACTCTAGGATATACAGTAGCAAATCACAACCAGACCCAAGGAAATGCTGCACATGTCCTGAAGGTGTGGGGTTAGTGTCAGCTGAAGTAAGCGGTGGAATGTCATGTTTCATGTTTTATGGTCAAGTAGCAATGATCTCATATCATCAAAACCACTGTTGAGCAACACTTTATATGTTTTCTTTGAGTCTGAGAAACACACAGTTTAGTTAAGATAAAAGAAAAACATTTCTTTCTGTAAGACACGTACATTAAAATGTTCAACTGAAGGATAATTGTAATATGTATGTACCGACAACTATGAACAGAAAGCAGAAAACATGGGTGCAATGTGGTCTGCACAAGAATACAGCAATACAGTACAAGGAGGAAAAGTATGGCCGCAAACCTCAAAGATCAGCTGCCTATACTTTCTGACTGGCAGGTGGACATTCAGCTTACTATATTATTTGCATGCAGCACTTAATGATTTCCTTAAACAGCAATGGAAAGGCCTCTTTATAGGCCATGGAAAACGTCTTCACTTGGCAGTGATTTCCTGTAGTACACAATGTTACTGAGGCTGTGATAACCAGCAGGCGTGACTCACTAGATCTGAGATTGCTGAGAGGCTTTACAGCTACAGCCCACACACACCTGACTTACAGTAAACCCTAAACAGATGGCCAAAGGATCGGCCAAAAGGATACTTGGGTTCAACTTAGGTTTAAATTCAAGGTTTTGTAAACTTTTGACCTTTATGCAAATGCAAAGCTCATTATTTTAAAGATAATAATTACAAAAAAGGAATTGTCCTTTTTTATTGAAACTCGACACTCCATTACAACTCTTAGAAAATCATGGAACGGATGAGAGCAGTACGGGTTTTCCTTCCTCGTACAGAAGGCATCATCTACTGTCATGTACTGTACACTGTCAGAGCACCAAGCCCACTGGAGGACTAGCACAGCATTCACTGACAGCACATCAATTCACTCAATCTCAACAAGCCAGAAGGAGTCTGTTACAGTATGTCCCGGGATGCACCAGCCAAGTCCCTTCCCCAGTGATGCTAAACTAATACAGTAATTCGCTGACACCTGGGAAATCTTGGCCATAGTTGGACTAATGACATGCTCAAGGCTCAGTTTTTGGTCATCGTATCACAGTAAACAAAGTCTAGCCTTAAAAAGGGTTCAAAGACGGGCTGAATGGCCTTCTAAGATTTCTAATCTTTCTAATGTTCTCAGAAAGCCACAGATAATATTTGGTCAGTGTTGTATATACTATAAACATCTGCAGTCAGGAGAAAACAACATCTTACTCCTTTGACAGTAAGTTGACTGAACCACACTGACGGTGTCAATCAACTATGATTCAACACTGCCATCAAAGCATGTGACAGTGAACGGTCTTGCTGTTTCTGAGAATTAGCAAAAACAATGCTCAATAGCCTTGTTGAAGGCTTGATCCCGAAATTGTTTTTGCTTGATTTGCATAAATTGGGCCATTTTGAGTCTTTTGGGAGGGTCAAACAGAGAGCATTGCACGGTCACTTTTCAGTCACTTGCAGTCCATCAACACCTCTTTAAATAATTAGGTTATTCCATCTGGTCTGATAAAATGATTTCTGCAGACGACCAGAAACTGTACGCTAACAAGGAGCAGTTTTTAAGATTCCTGAAAGGACATGTGGCCTTGATCATACAGGTATATGTAAAATGTCGAGTTAAACATGTTATTGTTGATTTGTTGAGGTGATTGATGTGTCTTCACCAAGGCAATTAAATTTCAAAACAATTTATTAACTGAAAGTAGAGTGGCATAACAAAAGGTTTCCAAATATTACTAACATACTGTATGCTATGTATTTATAATTGACTTGCTGCATATAATCAAGAGAAACTCAGAGACATTAACATTAACAATTTTAAATACACACAGCTCCTGTTCAATTACTGAAAATTGTTTAAAGAGACACAATACACGGGAAAAAAAAATATTTCCAACGCATCTTCTGGGTTTGGTCTTATTACCAACAAATGCTACAGTAGCAGTCTCATTAAGATTGAGAACTGAATGTTGAGGGGACTTCGGGACGTGAAGAACTTTCAGTAAATACTGGAAACTTGGTTCACTTTCAAAAGCAATTTGATTATGTACAGTGGGTGTAAAATGAAATTACTGCAAACCATGTCTTTCAGTATATGTAAAGGATCCGTGCTACGGAGACTAGATTCAGAGTGTTCCCTAGAAAACGTGCTCACAAGGTCTTTACAGGCAAAACAAGTCTGTGAAGCAACGAGTGGCCTTCTGTGCGACGGTAGTCTTCTGCGCACCCTTCTCGTCTTTATTTAAACAGTACTTAAAATATTTCACATAATTCAGTGGAAATTAAGATTTATTGACAATAGTCAGAAACTATATTCATAATCAAATAATCTTTACTTTAGAAAATAACCAAATCATTTTCAGAGTGATATTCAGCGCAAGACTGCGTATCAACAGATGTAATTGCCTACATTATTTCTATATAATATCCGTATTTTAATTATCATACAAACTGCCTGGGACTCCGTGTATTTCCGATTAATGGAACGAGGACAGTTCGTTCACTGCCTCATGAACAGAAAAAATCAAAAAGTCGCTTGACTTTTGTTTGAAAGAATATTGTCAAATAATACCGTTATTCAATATAGCCATACTCAAGCGAATCGGTTTCGTTTTATACGACTTCATATGCATATATGATTTTATGTATTGAACAAAACAAAAAAGAAAACGGGTTACCCTTACCAAAAAAGGTATAACTGACCTTAGGTTTCTGTAGAAGTGCCCCGGTTTTCGTAATAGTTTAGTAGGTGAGACTTAACATTTTGCTCTACGAACTTCTTTCTTCGCACTGTATACAAATTGAGAAACAAATATATACAGTAAGTATGAAGTATCACAAATAAATTACTGTATATCACAACGGAGAGTCCAGGAGAAAACATTCAAATAACAGAAATCCACTACTTAAAACAATATAATAGCCCCTTCCTGCAGCCTATTAAATCCTGACGTTTTTTAGTGTTTCCTCATCAGATTGCCCGTACCAGACAGCAAGTTTATTCTCCACCTACGAAGAAGTTGCACAATAAAAATAGAACAAAACCAAGTTGCCCGAGACAGCTATTACTGTACCTTGATGTCTGATTTTAGTATCTAGTCCAGACTTGCTTGCTTTCTTTCTGCCGTTCACAAAGCAGTTTTGTTTCAGAGATTATTTCCGATGTTGTCTTTTGCTTTTCTTCCTTCTGTTTTGTCAGACGAAGTGCTTTTTAACCCTGGATGCGCAGCAGAAAACCTTCGGTGGTTCTCGAAGCGCGCTGGAAGGTAACTGGACAGGCTGTTGCTTGTCTCGCGTAGTCTGTATCGCAGGTCTGTTAGACCTCATCATATTATTATTACTACATGCACGTGAGTGTGGCTTCGCTTTGAGTCCCACTGGAGACGAGCACTGGGAGTAGAGGTGCGCGATAAAAAATGTTTGAAGTATGAGCCGTAGACTGTATCCCGCTGCATCAAATGAATCAGTCTTTTATTTTTTAAAAACTAACATATTGGAATTCTTCTATTCCTCAAAACAAGAATAAAAACAATTGATAATTTATAAACAAATTCTTGGAATTTATAAATAATTCTTCAAATATAAGCAATGACGGTAATTAATTAGTTTAATATGTTAGGCTAGACTAGCTTGTTGGGCTAAACCTGCTTATTCTTACCAGTAATGTAAAATGTCTTACCGGTAGGAGAGCGATCAGTCATCTCCGAGATGCAAATAAAACCCTACAACTTTACTAGATGGGACAGAAATGTCAACCGTGAATCTGGGCGTCCTAGATAAGGGGGAAAAATATACTGACTTTAGTAAATGTATAATAATAATCTGAAATAGCTCCTAAAGCATCAGTCTAATAACAAACTCCAGATGGGTTCACTGTTCTTTCTTTCAACAAAAGTGTGAACATGATAAAAATGGTTTCTATAAACACTATGTAAGGGGGTCGTTTAGGGTTTTTGTGAAAACTTGAATGTTAGTTTACATGTAGGAGCAGGTCCCCAATGCTCGTTGTTTGTAGCTAAATTAGATGAAGCTCGACTGCTCTGTGTTGAGGTAATTGACCCTGGCTGTAAATTATATTTCACTTCAGGATTGTCGGGTAATGACTAGCTATGACAGTCAATGACTTCACCGCACAAGAGAAAATGGATACACTGTATGTACTGTAACAAAGCGATCTGACTACTCATTTAACCATTTTTACAGAAACAGAAGACCTATTCTTTAATCCGTAGTTGTTCTATACACAGTATATTTTGGAACAACTTTCAATTTTAAATTTGATGATTTGTTGCATTCTTCTTTCAATCCCGGTGTATGCATTTCTCCATTCCAGACACTTATTTACCTACAGTACTGTACTTCCATTTCAGCTGGTGTTCCATAAGGATAAAACATTTAGTGCTGTGAAAAATGTTCACCTACAACATGTAGCAAAAACACTAAGCCAAACAATAGTACCACCTGTAGCTTGAATTACTGTAATCTTGCAGGATACTAGATTTCAATTTACTTTTTGGTTGAACTACAGTACTCTGTATAAATCAGTTACACAGTTCACCGATGTTGCATTGGGCTATGCCACTCTACAGAACACTTCACAGACAGCTATCACACTGTGATCTCTTATTGATACTAAGGTGTTTAGTAACATGATTCTTACAAGTGAATTTATAGATACAACATTACAAGCTAAGTTGCCCTCTCCTCAAATACACTCTGAAACCATTTTCTGGCAGACAGTCTAATGCTGTAATTACTTTGAATTGATCTTAATTTGATGGCTGGTACATTCAGATGGGACTCTTTAATTCCATAAAGCTCCCATCTGAATAGAATCCATACATTTTCAGTCTGCCATTCCTGGTAAGGGTATCTGTGAGACGAATGCCATTTTCTTTGAAATGCTGTATGATTTTGATTTTAGTTTACGAAAACTGAGTGCCCGTTCCAAAAGTCTTGGTTTTTAGATAACAACAAATTTATATAGGCTATTCTTTGTTATGCCTGTGTAGGTTTTTGTCACTATGGAAGCCTGAATAACTGAAGAACTGAGGAACTGAATAAACTGGAGAGCCTCATAAAAGAGAAGTGAGATTTAAATAATGACGTTGGGCTTCTTTATTTTTCAGATAACAAATTGTTTTTTATGGCGTGGTTAATTTTATGTCCAATCACCCTTAAATATCCTATTCTGTTCAGCTTCTAACAGAATACGATGATAGCAATCTAGGCTGTCTCTGTTTGCTGTCGTTGTGTGAGATTAGCATGTGAAGTAATAAGAGAGTACGATGTGTTCATCTTCAAGGTGAACTTCTCATTATTTTCACCTAACATGCATGGAAAAGCGTCTGTTTCAGCAGTGCCTGCTAATCCCCTGTGCAAGGTGACAGCCTGTTCAGGTGATAATTTGATCTAAAACATTGCATGGGCTTTAATGAATATGAACAAGAGCGGACAGCCTAGAAAACCATGGCAACACCTTCTCCGCAGGCCTACAGGTGACCAAAATGCGGAGAGAAGGGAGAACTTTATGTTTTTAAATTGATTTGTAAATCTTTTTCATATTCATTAAGATTTCAAATACAGTAAGTCTTGGGAAGATACAGATAAGTGTATTATTTCAGAAATTTCCACACTTGTGTATGTGATATTTTTGTGGGACATCTTTGAGCAAGAATCTCTAATTTCCTGCCATTCAGATGACCCAGTGACCCAAGGACTTTGTTGTTGTCTTTTGAAACACTAACAAAATTACAATAATGTCCATACATGACTCTGCTGAAACTCAATTAAGCCATTTTCCATTCTCTTTGACAGAAGAAAAGCAAGGGATCCAATGTGTATCAACAATACGCTATTGTAAAATGCTGTAGGTCACAATAGCCCTTGTATGGCAGTAAAGGTCACTTTGCATTTCTACCCTTTATTTACTATATGTTATGACTGCCTTTTAAAAAACACTATCTGTTACATTTGAAAACTGGGAAGGTAAATCATTGTTTAGTTGAAGGAAACTGTTGATACTAGCATCTACTGTAGGGCCTGATTTGCTTAATCAATGTGCAATTGCTTGAATTAACTATTTAAACAATTTTAGGTTTTTGAACACATGCTGAGGATAGGGAATTGACCCAAAGCATATCTGATTTTACTTTGCTATGTTTGTTCCTTAGTTTTGAATAAAACCAGTACTGGTGCCAATGAATTCACTGATGGAGTTCACACTGGATGGAATGGTTTGGGTTTGTATTATGAAAAATAATAAAGAAGAAAGTAAACCAATATCTGCATTAGAAATATATCTCCTTCATACTGTATGTGTATGCAATCGTTTTTGAAGTTGCTTATTCAAGCTTAGCATCATTTTGTATCAATAGTTGATTATTTTTCTATCTTTGTGTAATACACTGCAGTTGTTTATATTAAATAATACATAAAATCCATAGATGAGGATTATTAGGAGGCCATGATTGGTAAGGGCCAGTGGGAAATTTGGCCAGGATGCCAGGGTTGCTACTCTTTTCGAGAAACACCCTGGGATTTTTAATGACAACAGAGAGTCTGGATCTCTGTTTTACATCTCATCAAACAGATGGCACCTTTTTACAGTATGTCCCCATCACTATACTGGGGCATTAGGACCATATAGACCACAGGGTGAGCACCCCCACTAACACCTCTTCCAGCAGCAACCTTAGTTTTCCCCAAGAGGTCTCCCATTCAGGTACTGGCCAGACTCACACTTACTTAGCTTCCGCAGGTTACCAGTTATGATCTGCAGGGTGATATGGGCTCTGGTTAACTGCCATTTGCCAGGTATTTCCTCAGTCCTGATTTAAGCTGTATCTTTTTTAATCTTCTTTCCAGCGTCTACAGTGTTTGCTTAATCCTCCCATCGTGTTTCAGAATGTTCAGAGGCAAAATTTCACTATATTACTATCTTCACCTGAATATACATTTAAATTATGAATTACAAATTAGGAATGACAGTGGTCCTAATACAGATACCTGTGGTACTCCACTAATTAAACACACAGGAAACAATCACCCCTTATCTGTACACTCTGTTTTATATCCTTTAACCAGTTCACAATTCATACATATGCATTATCTTGAATGGCTGCTTGAAGGCCTGCAATTTTGAAAATGTATCTTTTATGATAAACATTATGAAAACCCTTCAGGAAATCTAAATATGCCCTGTTTTTTTCTATATCTGTGTTCATTACTGCTGTTGCTTTTCACACTAAGCTTTGTTGACCGTTCTACATAATCTACATTCCTGAAATTAAAAGACTTGCCTGTATAGTTTCAAAGTATACTTCAGAGTATTCTATGTTAGATCACAGTTCCCTAATGTTTCTCTGACCTATGTTTTCCACTCTCTGAAGAATAACTCTTCAGTATCTTTATTGTCTAAAAAATCTAGATCACTATAGGCACTATAGGTGCTCTGATGAACTGAGTAAGACAGCAGTCATTAACCATGAGCACCATTTTATATTCTGTTTCTCACATTGCAATCGTTTTTTCATTCTTTGTAAGAAAGGTGAAAGTCTCTCATGAAAACCATGGTTTTCTATCACAGTTTTCATAGCCTGCATACTGTATGCAGTATCTTAACAATGTCTGATTCAAAATGTATTGATACCAGAGTAACTGAAAACAAAATATGCTCTTACTGTATATTAATAAGACAGACTCTAGCATGGATACAGAGAATAAAGGTTTTATTTATTAATACATTTATCCTTTTTTATCCACTTCAGGGTCACAGGTGAGCCAGATCTTAACAAACAACAGGCACAAGGCACACACAGTTTCCAGCATGTGTTTGGACTGTGGGAGGAAACTGAAGCACCCAGAGGAAACTCATGCAAACCTAGGGAGAACATACAAACTCCATATAGACAGCATCCCAGGTCCAGAATTGAACGCAGGCCCCCTGCACTGCAAGGCAAAAAATGCTAACCACTACTCCAAAGTGCCACCCTTATTCATTAATCCACCATTTCTTATATAAAGGAACTCTTAATGGCGCACTTATGACATGTGCAATATGCTGTGTGACAATGACAATCTGCAGTTACCTATACACTGTATAATGATCTGAAGATTCTTCATAAGAAACATGCATGGGTTTATAAATGACCAAGAGTGTTGGACCAAGTGTATTAAAAATTTGAAATAGTAGAAAAAAAACTGAAAAACACAGTGGATGGTGGAGCATGAGCCGTGGATGCCATGTGCTGTTAGGTAGTCTTGTAGGTATTTCTTGTTTGATACTGAGAGATGGAGGCATAGGAATTTATGCAGAGTGAAATAACTCATTAGTATGTGTGACATACATATACACCGCACTGAATTTCC